TTCCAGTATGTCATGTAGTTCAAATCATATAGTATATAGCCTTTTGAAATTGACTTCTCTCACTTATTAAAATGCATTTACAATTCTTCTACATAGTTTTATTGTGTGCTAGCTCATTTGTTTTTAAAACCGAATAATATTCCATTGTCTGGATATAGTGTAGTTTATCTATTCACCTACTAAAGGGCATCTTGGTTATCTCCAGATTTTGGCAAGGAATAAGGCTGCTGACCACATTCATGCACAAGTTTTTGTGTGGAGATAAGGTTTAAAGTCCTTTAGATAAATACTAAGGAGCAAGACTGCTGGATGACGCTATAAGAAAAGATTGAGCTTTGTAAGAAATGGCTGCAGTGGCTGGATCATTTTGCAACCCCACTAGCAATGAATGAGAGCTCTTCCGGCATATCCTAATCAGCATTTGGGATTGTCAGTATTTGGGATTTTTGCCAGTTCCTTCTATCACTATCAGCCGGAAAGCCCCCAAATAACAGCATGCACTGACAGAAGAGTATCATATTTTCAGTGTGGTAGATTTGAGCTCAGATTCTTTCATTGCCATGGAAAATTTAAAATCAGCCTTTTAGGATTCAAGACAGATATGAGCAGACCCAGGATTTGAACCATACAGTCAGCTATGTGGCACCCAGCTGACTTAAACACCAAGTCACAGAACCAGCCCAAAATACATTTCACTTTGTAAAAGTATATCATTTCTATTAACTTGTAATGGATTATTACTATCATCATCATTAAATGAATTAATTTCTCATGGGGTTAGTTTCTAATACATTTAATATTGATAAATGTAACCCCAAAGGAAATTCTTTGGGGTCTTCAATAATTTAAAGAATATATAAGAAGTTTCACAGACTAAAAAGCTTGAAAACAATTTAAGAGGAGAAAGACATTAAATCAGTAAAGATACTAAATTAGTAAAGATACTAAATGTACGTCAAAATATAAAAGCACAACTAATATATACAGTAAGACTTATGAGAACGTATAAGATAAGGTTTCTTTAGAAATGTCAAATGTGATCAAGTTATTTAACAAACCTACTATTAGACAATACCATTCATTTCATTCTTACCACAAAAAAAGATTGTGACCTTTAGATAGACTTTAGATCTAGTCTCTCAGCAAGAATTTTGTCATCTTCCGCTTTGTGTGGATCCAAGTAAGCATGCTAATTATTAATTAAATTAAACATATTACTTGATTCACTTATTCTAAAACCAAAATCAAAGTCACTGTCAAAATACTTATTGAAAAAAACGTATATGCATTTGTAACAGGTTTTCTATTTCCCCAGCGGGGAAGATAGTTACCGTAAGTTCAGTAGTTCTCACGAGAACATTCAGCATGGTTACTTTCCAGGGTTCTTCAATGTCTTCCGGTATAGGTGTATAAATTTGATAAACAAAGAGACTACACATCAACCCAAGACACAGAGCCTTGTATGCCATGATATTCCTTTATCAACTTCTGTATCCTGATGGTTTAATGTCATCTCATATATACTGATGCCTTAGTAGCGGGACAAAGGTAAGTGGTAAACACTGTCATGTAACAACCACTTTAATGATGTTGACCTAACAGTTCCAAGATAAACAGTGACAGTAGTTACTGCTTCATAATTACACAATCTTTCTGAAACTGAATTCACAATATATTCCATCAAGTATGCATCAGTAGCAAACAACTGAAGATGCTGGAAAAAGTTATCTTTTTACCATCTGACAAAATCAGAGTGTCAACACAACACACTGTATTAGTAGCCAAAAAAGACCACAAGAAGAACCATAATATCTATTTTTTCCAATGAGCATTTTGCAAAGATGGGTGAGAAAAGATGAAGAGCAAACAAAACCTGTCAGACAACATATTGTCAAGCTCAAGACTAATACCGTTGGCGTAGATCTTTAACAACATTAAAATTCACTGTGATCAAATGAACTTTGAACAAGAAGAGAGGAAAATGGTATTCAGGTCCAAGTTCCAGAATTAATTCAACCAGCCCAGAAATATTTATAGAGCATTTACCTTAAGTTAAAGTTGGGGATTTTCAATCCATCTAGGTGTATAATCATGGAAAACTTCCAATTTCATTGAGCAAATCATTGCATGTCTTAGAGTAATTCAGTATTAGGCAAAAGGGTTACAAAATTGAGCAAAACTTGGCATTTATTCATTCCATTGTTGGGGTGCTTTCTCTTCCTGATTTTCATTTACCTATGACTATTTTTTAAATTTTTGTCATAGTTTTTTTTTCATTTGGGGCCCCTCTCAGGTTTTTTCATTAAGTTTGCAGAAGAATTTCCTATTGTTATTCTAATTGATCCAAAACCATAAATTCTTATTGAAAACTTGCTTTATTATCAATCCAAATACAAGACAGATTAAAATAGAGGTCATTCTCCTAAAACAGTTGAGGTATAAGAATTACATGGATGGAAGAGGACAACAGGATCAGGAGACAGAAAATAAACTGAATATGAATGATCCAATATGTGTATATTAGAAAGTCAATATTTGGGACCAGCAGTTAGTGTAATGGCTATGTTGCTGGACTCCCATGTAGTCAACCGCAGTTCAAGTCCCAGATCCGGTGGCTTAAACTCATGCCAGGTGCACATGAGTGCATGCCCAAAATCCCAGGAGGAGAATGGAGAAGAAGGGATTGCATCATGGCCATCCCCTCTGGAGGGTAATTTCTTGCTTTCTGTCTGTCTGTCTGTGTCTCTCTCTCTCTCTCTCTGTCTTTCTGGGGAGCACATGTACCCTATAACAAAAACCTCTAAAAAAAAAAAGATAAGAAAGTCAATGTTTTAAAATATTGACCTAATTTGGCATACTCTTTCTTCTCTCTCTTCATTGATCTACAGAAAATTTATATGGAACCTCATTGGCCTTGCCCTTCTTCCCATCCAGGGAAATTCTTTTTACCTTCTTTATTTTGAAATCTAAATATGTTACTAGAAAGGACTCGGTAGAAAACATGAAACTATGTGATTGTCTTTCTGGGGAGCACATGTACCCTATAACAAAAACCTCTAAAAAAAAAAAGATAAGAAAGTCAATGTTTTAAAATATTGACCTAATTTGGCATACTCTTTCTTCTCTCTCTTCATTGATCTACAGAAAATTTATATGGAACCTCATTGGCCTTGCCCTTCTTCCCATCCAGGGAAATTCTTTTTACCTTCTTTATTTTGAAATCTAAATATGTTACTAGAAAGGACTCGGTAGAAAACATGAAACTATGTGATTGATTTTAATATGGAGTAGCAGGACCAGAAAGTTGCATGGTAGTTCAGTACACCAGATTCCCACATGGCTGACCATGGTTCAAGACTTGGACCTGGTGGCTTGCTCTCACTACCCCCTCCTCCCAGTCTGTCTGCCTTTCCCTGGACAAATTAAAAAATAATAATAATAAAATAAAAATTGAATAATTCTTTTTTAAGAAAAGAAATACAGAGTAGCTTGAAATACAGAAATACAGACTGAGAATAGAAGACAAAGAGATATGTTCTTGAAATCTTGCCACAAGCATACAGGTTGGGAAGCCTCTTTGTCACTGCAGTCTTAAGATTCTCCCAGAAACATCAGACAGTCATGGGTCACTGTCAAGTACCCCACCTAGTAAAGCTCCTTCTGCCCTTCCAGGCAGAGTTCGCAGGAACCACTGTGACTTTGAATGGTACTGATCAACTAAGCAGCCCAAAATAGCGCTGCAAAGTCTACATTAATAAAAATGAAATGTCTCCTACACTACAGGTCACAAAAGTAATGGCTAATCCTAACATGACGACTGCCTGTCAAAAGAATTTTTTTCCTTTTTTTTTTTTTTTTTTAAAGTTTTTGTCATAGGGTATGTGCACTCACAAGAAACAAAGAGAAGGGAAGTAAGAAGTCAGCCTCCGGTGGGGTGAGGGCGGGTGGCCACACCACAATCCCTTCTTTGCCATTCTTCTTTCAGAATTGTGAGCATGTCTGCACTTGTGCCTGGTGTGATTTTTAAGCCAACAGGTCTGGGACTTGAACCACAGTCAACCATGTGAGAGTCCAGCACCTTAACCACCATGTCACCTCTTGCCCCTGCCCCAATTTTTTTTTAACTGGGTGGGTAAAGGCACAGCAATAAAATGTAAAGCTCTGTGAGGTTGAATCAAATGGGAAGTTCTGATTTTCATTCAGAGACCTTCCTGAGTATGCCAGGCACACACATGCCCGTGATCCAAGGCTAGCTGAACTGCAGTTGCATCAGGAGTCTGCTGTGAGTGCTGTCTCTCCATCTGTCTGTCTCTCTTTCTCTCCCTGTGTCTCTCTCACTCTGAAATAAATTAACACATAAACTTTTTTTTAAAGTATCTTAGTAGGATCCAAAATTTCTTAATGTAATAACTAAATTTCCAGGATAAAAAAACAAAAAACAACAAAAAAAAACACAATAACACAAAGTTGGAAAATCTCAACTTAAATGAGAAAGAAAAACCCGGTTAGCAAGAAGACAGAATATAATGTCTTCTGCTTTAGTTCCTCTCACAAAAAGAAAATCGATTATCCTCAAACAAGAATGCCTTTGTGAAAATTCAAGAATGTAGGTGTGAAATTAAAGCACTCCCTCCTGGACCACAAAAACTGAGAAAGGCACATTAGAAGGGTCAGAGGAGCAGTTTCATTTTGACTGTGCTTCCTCACCCTCAGGCTGCCACAGCTCACCACCAGGAGAGTTCCTTTGGACCTCCAGTTTCTCCACTGGAGGAAAGAGAGCAGGAGTAGACAACCAGCTTCCCTAGAACTCTGGATGTAGCACAGGAAGACGTCTTCTATGTCACCTCATAAGAAAGAAAGGACAAACTGGCAGGGCTAGAACACCTGGGGTCAAAGACATCGGACAGGATTCATAGCAATCAGCTTATAGATCTTGATAAGAATAACACATTCCTGCCCACAGCAAGCCCAGCCAGAGATCCTAGCCAATGGCTCTGCCCATCTGTGGAGCTGAGCTTGTGGCTGCATCTGGACAAGGAGCATGATCGGCATGGTGAGTAGTTGTGCCAGCTTTTGGTCCCTAACCAGCAGTGGGGTCTAGCCCTAGGGCCCAACCTACAACCTAGGATAGGCAGGAAGCCAGGTGAGCAGCTCCACAAATAGCCTTCACCTCTGTCCCATAAGTGAGACTGGCTCTTCTAGGAAGAGCCCAGCCTGAATCACCATGTGAACATGTAGCTTAGCCTCCAGCCCCACCCAACTGTAAAGCACAGAGAGTGACCCCCTCTGTTACAGGCACCTTGAAAACTCTAAGGCATGTCTACAGTCACATCTTAACAGGGAGCTTGGTGATTACATTAAGCAACCATAGAACACAGCCAGCTAACCTTCCGAACTATAGGATACAGTCTTCAGACTCCCTGATCGTAGAACTCAGGAAACAGACACTCAACTTCACTGCACAGCTTGAGGCCTCAGAAATTGCCAGTCACAGAGGCCGGTCTGCAGGCCCGCCTAAATATGAATCCAGTGGCACCGTCTGGACTGGGAGCACAGCCTGTGATGTTTCCTGACCAGAGGTGATTGGAAAGCCCAGCCACTGAACCTGAACAGGGAGCTTTTACAGCAACCCCACAAGACCACAGGGCTCAGTCTGTAGATCTACCTGACTGTGGAGCCCATTTAGTGGCCCCATCTGACCTCAGTTCTGGGTAGTGACTCTGCCCAACTGGAGATCCCAACTGCAAGTCATACCAGTATAAAGACAGTACTAGAATACCCGAGGTAGGTCTGATTAGAAAGATCCTTTGATACTGAAGCAAACCTGGAGAAGCTGGAAGAGGTGATCACTTCCTCAAATGCATAAACATCACACAAGGATACAGGGATTATAAAGAAGAATATCACCAGAGAAAAATAATAAAACTGTTATAGCTAACCCTCGAGGAAATGTAATCTATGAACCAACAAAACGAGAAATCAGAATAATCCTCCTAAAGATGTTTGGTAAACTACAGAAAAAGCCACAGACATGGTAAACTACAGAAAAAGACAGAGAAACTTAACAAAATTAGGAAAAATAACCCATGAAGAAAGTTAGAAGTCCAACAAATACGTGGAAACCATAAAAAAAAAATCCTAGGGTTGAAGATTAAAATGACTGAAGTGAAAAATTCAATGAGAGCTTCAGCAGCAAACTCAATCAAGCAAGAGAGAAAATCCAGTGAACTTGAAGACAGATCAATTGAAATGATCGAGTCAATGGAAGGAAAATAAAAAGGGAGACACAGAAGAAAATCTACAGGTCTCAGAAGACACACTGAACAAAACAATACATACATTAGGAAGAGAAGGAGAAGAGAAAAAAGGTAAGAAAATCTATTCAGCCATGCACTGCAAGAACAGCATTTTGGTCAATAATTGACTATGTATACGATGGTGTTTCCAAACAGATGATAATTAAGCTGAA